TATTATATCTTTGTTAAATGGTTCAGATTTTGCATTTTGTTAATACAAGAGTGTACATCTGGAGGTATTATGTGATAATCTATGATAAATGATATATTTTTGATTATCTAATGTATTTTTCTTGGTTTAAATGGTTTATGATAATGATATGAAATTCATTGTTTAGGGGTACTTTTTGTATCTTTCTTAAAGGTTGTAATGTCTGTGTAGCTTGCAGGTTTTTTGTAGAAGCCAGAAATGGTTAATGCAGTTCTTAACCAGCACAGAATTAAAAGTTTAATTACAGTTAGCTGTTGTCTTTAGACAAGCCTAAGGTGGGGGAAAGAGGAAAATGTGGTATGTGAACATACCATGTGTTTTTACTTTATTTTAGTCTTATAATATTTATCCTGAATTCATTCTTTGATCTGGATATGTACAGGGTTCACATAACACATGAGAAAACTGTTACGTTGATCTTGTTTCAAGTAACTTTTGCTCCTTTGTTGTTCTTGAAGTAGATAAAAGCTGTTACAACCCAGGAAGAACGTTGCTAAATACAATGTTGTGTAACAATGCTGACAGCACCTTCAATGGTTGTTCAGGTGTTATATAGAGGTTATAGTTCAACCTACTTTGTAATGAGAATAACCAATCACATGGGTAGTACACATACTGTGGGTAAATGTGAGGTTTCTTAGTAACTAAGGAAACAAGCATTTGGGTTTTTTGGTACAAGATCTCAAGGGATCTAGTTTAGAACTTGGTCTTGACCAAAACAGTCAGAGAAGAGCTTTCAGAGCAATCATTAGGCATGAGAACACACTGTGTATATGTTTGAGTGTGTAATAAAGATTATGCATCTAGTTCTACATTTATGCCCAGTTTCCTTATTCTGACAACAACTCTATTATGTAAGAGTTTTAGTAAATCTTGGTACTGATATTTTTAACAAATCTCCTGTTATTAAATGGCCCTATCCTACAGTTCGAAAAAATAATATTCAGTTCACCTGAATTTATCAAAATATAGTACGAATTAATGAAGTTTGGTTAGATTTAGATAATATAAATTATTTTGATATTCAAGGTTATAAGTTACTTAACAGTGATAGGATTTAAAAAAGGGGGTGGTTGGGGTAGTTCTTTATATAAAGCCTGTTGGGATTGAAATCCAGAGACTGAACCTGTATGGGTTGTGATCAGGAGTTTCAAGAGTAGATGGAAGAACATCTTGGGATGATTGATCATCGCATATTTAAGTTTGATGTTTTTTAACAAGGTGAGGTTAATGAAATTTTAGTTCTTAATTTTTAGGAAGCAAATTCTGAGATGAGTTTTATCATCAGTCAATTGGAATAATGAGACTTGTAAAATTTTTCAACATAAGTTGCTTTTCATTCAAGATAAACACCACAAGTTTGTCAAGAAGGTTAAATTGACATGCTGGTTGGAATATTTACATAAAAATACAAAAATTATGGATTTAATTAAAAAAATTAATTGTATATCCAAAAGCGTATGAACAATTTCTGGCTGATAATGTTAAAACTAACATCAAGGAGTTTTTAAATCATGTTAAAGGTCATTAAAATTTTAAAACGAGCCCTTAAAGAATGCTAACGGCAAGGCTTTTGTCGAAGACTATGAGATGGTAAGCTTTTTTTTAATTTTCTTTTCTACTTATACAAGAGACAATGCAAGCAATATTCCTGACCCAGAACATTATATGAGAAATATTGGAATTGACCAGTTATGTAAATATTAATCCTTTGGAGGTAAACAGAAAGATTGAGATTAAAAACAGATAAAGCAACGAGGTCAGACAAGGTTTATCCCAAGATAAACCTGGAGGTCAGAGATCAGATACGCGAGTCTCTTGTGTTTCATTCTTGGTAGTTCAATAGAGAGTGGACAGGCACCTGAGGATTGGACAGTTGCTAATGTTACTTCCATTTTTAATGGGGGGTGATAAGGGTTTCACTGGAAGTTATAGGACTGTTAGTAATATAATACTTTTTTAGTGGTAAGAGTCCTAGAGAGTCTGATAAAAGAAACTACAGAAAACCATTTAGTGAAATATGATATCATAAAAGAAAGCAAACATAGATTCACCAAAGTGAATTTACTAAATATATCTTAATAAATTTGGCAAATTTTTTAGTAAGCACTAAAAGTCTGTTCTACACAAAAATCAGATTTGTCTGTGAACTTTACAAAGCCTTTACTTGGTCAGCCTGAGTGAACGATGATTTTCATGCTAAGATTAGAATTACTTCTTTCCATCTTACAGTTTTTCATATTTAATTGTGTATCCTATATAACCTCCTAAATGAATACCTAAAGCTTTCTCTCACTAAAACTTTGTATTGTATTTCTTCTCTCCTAACACTAACTGTGTCAAAATCATCAATGTACAGTGAAATTAAAAATTTGAATATATGAAATAAAATGAATAACACAACTTTTTTTTTCCCTCTGTATTGACTGCAATTGAAAATTCCGAGTTACTTGTCTAAAAGTTCACTTCTAACCTTTTCTCATCTGCTTTATTTTAATTCTATGGATTTATTGCCATTTTTGTGCTCATTGGGGCAGTAATCCTCGTGTTAAAAGCAATAAATCACAGTGGTAGCCCACTAATTGTTTCTCTTAGGGCTAACTTTAACAGCACATGATTTGAGGGTCATGTTTCAAGGTACTTGAGCTAGTGTAATTTTTAGATATTTTACTTTACTGAAGTTTTGTTAGGCTAAGCTGAGCAATTTATAATTTGTACATGTTATTTAATTTTGTTAAAAAGACATATAATAATAAATAAAAATATACATAAAAACCAATATTTATACTACTCACTGCATACTCTGGCAGTTTGTACTGTAGTAGAAGTACTTCTGTAAGCCTCATTGAGTCTCACAAATTTGGGTTAAAAAAAAATTCACGTAGCTTTCAAATATGCATTTTAGAAAACAAAAATTACATTAGTCACCAGAAAAGAATGTCTTAAAACAACTATAATTTATTCTGGCTTTTATGTAAGCTATAAGCATTTACAAAAAATTCTGCTAGCACAACAATGATCATGGAGCAAAAAAACATTGTAAGAACTGAATGATCTAAGTAAAACATAGGCACACTGAGATATTATAAGCATTTTCTTCAGACATGTAAAGTAGATTAACAAAACAATCTTGAAAGTCGGAAAAAGGGGAAGGGGTTTCTCTGGCGAGTTTGACAAATCTGTTACTCTTTTAGCACATCAAGAAGATAGGAGATTCAAGTTTCAGGTTATTGCTTTTAATTATGTATACCTAGTATTTCAAATTGGTTGGAAACAGCAGCAACCTATTTTTGAAGTTGGAAAATTCTAAATGGAAAAATTGGAGTTCTGTGGCACCACATAACACAAAAAAATTAAGACTGAGAAATTTTAAAATATTTCTTTTTGAAATTAAGATGTTAAAATAGATAACATAAAAATTTGAATTATAAGCTACATTTTGATGCCAATTTTATTGATATAAATTAAATAAAACTGTTTAATTAAACTTTGAATATATCGCTAAAACTGCTATTAAAGAGTTAATAAAGAGTCCACTCAAATTGGACCCTCGTTACCAGTGAAGTGCCTTTGTTGGGCCTTTCCTATTTATATTACTTACATTAACGATATACATGGAATAATAATTAAATTAATGGATATTTCTAGCTGCATTGAGGATGTTGAGGTATGACTTGGATCAATTAGTAGATTTGACAAATTATTGGTAAATAACGTATAATTATACTAGGTGAAACCAACAAAACAATGTATTAAGCTTATAATTTGGATCACATGATTAATATGGATAGGAATACACTCAGAATCTAGGCATAGTGGTGGATAAGTCACTCATTACATCAATGTAGTGCTCTGTTGCCAGTAGTAAAGCTAAAAGAATTTCAAGGTGTATTTATAGACATACTGATAACAAGTCAACTAAGTAATTGATCCTCTAAAAAGCACTAGTGAGGCCTCACAAGGAATTCTCTGTACAGTTATAGTCTCCTTAACCAAGAAAGGGTATTGAGCTATTGGAAAGGGTTCAGAGGAGGGTTACTAGGATGATTCTGGACATCGGTTATCTTACAGGGATAAGACCTCTTAACTTCTATTCTCTTGATAAGAGGAGATATTACTGAACTTTACAAGATTATCTAGGAGATGAATAGAATAAAGGTCTCTATATACTATATTCTGAAGATAATAGGACAAGAGGACACTAGTTTAAGATTTGGAAAAGGCAGACTGGGCTCAAGTTAAGGCTGTCTATTTTTTTTTAAAGGTGACTGATTTACTATCAGCAGTAATAGAGGCCAGCATTTTACAGGAGGTTAAGAGAGAATTTCCAAGATATAAAAGATGGGGTTAAATTTCAACTTTCCTGAAAGGTGGATGTGAAAGGTCCAAAGAAATTCTTGTTAGCCATGTGTTATTTAGATTTCATATATTATGTAAAATAACAGCAATTAATACCTAGGTTCCAAGCATCATTAAATTCATGTTTGCTCTCTTTGTGGGTCACGAATGTAAACTTTCAAAATTTAACATTCTGTTTTCTTGGTTTCATGGAACTAAGAATTTGAAATTTATAAAGCTTTTTTATGTTGCTTAAGAACAGTACACAAATGTGATAATTTCAAAAAATGTTATAGCTTTAGGTATATTTATATTTGTATATTCAATTAACCATAATAATTGATTTACACTTGTTTTTACGACGTATGCATAATGTACCTTACACTTAAAAAGAACATCCTGTATTTTTATTATACATTTTAAGAAGTCTGTGTGGTATCCCATTATCAATAAAGTTTATATTTTCTAATAAAATAATTTAAAAATGTTTTGCAAGATTGGTGAGCAGAATACAGAACTGTGACACTGAAATGACAAATCACTTGTTTTATTCATTTTTTTTTATAATTTCTTATTTCAGTTCTGTTTCAACTGTTCCACAAATTTAAATAAATATATATATCTAACCTATGAAACTGTAAATATTTTCTTAATCCATCGCAATAATTTCCTAAGAAAAAAACTGATAAAAATTAAAATCCATTTCTAAAAATAAGTGAAATATTTCCATTATTCAGGAAATTCTTCAGTATATTGCATTAAATTTGCAATTTAATGTGCTTATAAACATTTTCAATTGAAATCAAATAATTTATTATTTAAGAACGTAAAAATTACCAGATCAGTAATACAACACTTGGGAAACTGAAAAAAGAAAAGTATGAATAACATGTAAAAAAAAATGTCAACTTTGTTTGTTGATCTTGCAAATGATATAAGATTATCAGTTTCTGGGACAGTATAAACATTTCTAACATGAGTTAGACTGGGTAAATGTGGGTTTTAAACACATAGTAATGTAATAAGATGTTTTAAGAAATGCTTCGTAGATTAAGTGTTTGTGCAGAAAGAAATTCTCTTCCAATTATCATGGCTAACAAGATTGTGACTCATGATATTTCTTCCAAGCAGCATGTTATACTGACAGAAAATAAATAAGTACATATACAGTTTAAGAATAACAAAAAACCAATGCCTAAAAAGAGCTGCAAGAAAACACCAATTTGGAATAAAAATACATGAATTACCAAACAAAAAATAAAACCACTCAAACTTAGATACACTGCTGACCTAATTTTCCATTAACTAAGAAAACATCCTATGAAATCAACATATTCTGAATAGAGATAGACATGAAAGCAACACTCACTGCATACTAAGATACCTGTTCCAAGTCCATGCTACTTCTAACCAAAACAAATACCCATTTTTATGTATAATTATTTTGATCACTTTTTTGGGCTAATGAAATATCTAAATTCTATAAAATTAAAACACCAAATCCACCATTAAATATTGCAAGTAAAGAAAATTTACTTCTAAAAGTATTTTCGTTATAAATGTTTAAAAGTACTAATATAATGCATTAACTTTCTATTTGTGTATAAATTGCTTTGACATTTTCAATCAAATAAGAAACCCTTTGTTCTCTTGAGTTTACACTTGCATGTACAGTGTGGTTTATCATTGGGACCTAATAAAAAATAATATATTACAGCAAAATTACATCTTACATCAAGAAGTGACAGAATGAAGTTGGTTTCTAACATGGTACTTTACAAAAGTAAATTAACAGACCAATTCTTACCATGCATTACCAGTTTAAAAATATATAATGCAGAGAGAACTAACATTAAATGTGCAAAATTAATGACATTATAAAAAGGAAGTTTCCTCATAAAACAATATCTAGTTTCATGCTATTTTACAAATTTTTCATTAATTTGAAAAATATACAGTAAAACAATTGTTTTGTTTTCTTGTTATAACCTAAAAGATAAACAATACATGCATCCTATCTCAAGCAGGTTTTCATCAGATAATATGATACATTATGTAGTATAGCACTATCATTAAGTGTACTATATGCCAGTAGTTTAATGACTATTTAAATATTTAAAGCTTCTTAATTAATTTAATTGAGTCATACGATTCAGGGATTAAACTTTTTGAACAATTACTATGTATATATGGGATGAAATGTGTGCTCTTAAGTTTCAGCCACTGGAAATAAAGTTTATTTACATAGAATTGTTAAACATATTCAAAACCTGAAGCACAATTAACCTTATGCATTTTGAGTGCTCTAGAACTTAACTAAACTCAAAATTGTAAACATATTTTTGCTTAACATATATTGTCTAATTCATTAATTCTGATCAATTTCTTGACCTCATATTCTAATCCAAACAGATGCTCGTCATACACATGAGGAATAAGAACTCTCATTACCTCAGCAAGATTTAACAGGTATTCTATATTTTTTCCACTACAACCCTCTGCATCGTAAATCTGTAATGCTATGGTTTCTACTGGGGCAGGGCCAAGAAAGTAAGGATTGTCTTGGTAACCAACATAAATAGTTAGTTCTATGGGATTAATCTCTTCGTCTTTTGGATAAAAAGTTACATTGATTTTTTCATAACCTTCTTTCTCACGATCATCTAGATGCGCTCGTACAGACTCAATATCTGATGATGCAATTTCGTAGGCTACCCCCCATACACAAGCCTAGGAAAAATTACAACATAAATAATGTTGTAAGGACTTACAAGGTAACAAAGTTTAAAAATCACATTGTATATAATTTCATGCTATCTAAATTCACATTACGTAATACTTTCTAAACACATGATGCAATATAAAAATTGTTATTTGGAAGACTAATATTTCATCTATGTAGAATAAGATACCATGAGAAAATGTACTACAATGTAACTTAGTTTTGCAGCATGTTTTGACATCCTAATTATAAATATTCACACAATAAAAAAGGGTGAGAGACAGAGTGCTCAGGAATTTAAATTACAATAAATGATAACGTTTTAAATCTTTTAATTTTATTCTGAATTATCTACATTGTTTCTCAGTGAATTTTAACAAAGAATAAATTTAAAAAAAATGGATCCTATTTTACCCCTAGAATTAAGAAATAAAACATAAACTTACGTCTGGTTTGTAAGAGGGTACTAATGTCACAACACGACCTGGCTGAAATTTGAAAAATCAAAGAAAGGTAAGTTTGTTTTCTCTGAATTTACAATTATAAAAAGTAAACATTAAAAAGGAAAACTGGTTCACTACCAAGCAAATCTTAAATTTCAGATGGAGAAGTTACTTTTACCTGAGTGATCTAACATTTACAATGGTGGTACTAGTAGTAAAACAAATGTTAACATCAAAATATCCATTGTAAATTACATTTCAGAAGAAATATAAAAACAAAACAATACATATTTTATACAGTAAACTATGCAATTAATGGGGTTAAAACGTGTACATTTGGTTACATTGGGGATGGGTTAGAGGGATCATGAATCTTCTTAACCTATAAGTATAAGCACAAGTGTGGAATATCTAGTTAATTTATACCCACGCCTGGTATCAGTGCAGATAACCAATGTAAATGTTGTGTTAATATAACAACTTACCTTAAATGAAAAGGACACGCACAACACGATGATATTTTAAGCAGTTTTTAACGTTGAATAGTATTTTTGAAAAAAAAAAGTGAAGTATATTTTATGTAATCTGTTCTAGGGTAATATTCAACAATCATTCCAAGGGAGTGTCTTATATGATTTAACTTTAACCCTAAGTTGGAATGAATTTTGGTTTAAGTGCAAGGAATAGTGTTAACTTACAGCAAATTTATGTGTTTCTAGCAGTGGTGATTAAACAAAAAAGGTCCAAAATATGATATATGCCTAAATTTGGTTAAATATATAGCTGGCAATACCAAAACTCCAAAGCTACGTAACCTTTCCAGGAATGCCACGATGATCTTCACTTCCCTGCCAAAATCGACGTACGAAACCTTTAATATATCCAACAACTTTTCTCCTATAAGGAAAATCTACCTTCCACATTAATGAACCATATCCAAATATCCACATTATATTTTTAAAGTATCTTGTCAATTCATGCATAAAAATATTAGGCCTTGTCTTCTAACGTTATTTCTAAATTCTCCGAATCAAAACAATTATGTAACAACGCTGAGACTGATATCGATGGTGATACGTGTGCGCTTTTTCAAACTACGCAATATTATAATAATACCAGTTAAATGCATGATTAGCGCCCATAATCACACATAATGTATATATTGTTACGTCTCTGGTCGTTAGTTAATTTTCCGTAAAAATTCTTTCCGAAGAAACTTTAGCGATACAAGTCCTTTTTCAGATAAAACTGGTTTATTCTTTCTGAATACAACTTTGCAATACACTTAATTTCCACAGTCGCGCGATATAATTCACAACGAACGTCTCATACACGACTCAACAGTCAATTATACATTGTTGCCGTCACTTCTTGGCGGCTTATATATACAAGACTACCGCATTTGCCAGAATATACATATTTCAATCAATAGATGGAGTTGATCCAGCTCATAGTTAATTGTAACAAGTGATTATTTTAAAGAATATTTCAATTGCTACAACCAATAGGAAATAGCTTGGTAAAATATGTCTAATTCTAAAGGTTTAGTAGAGGAAAAGCCTAGATTAACTTTTTGTTTGGAATATCTAAACACAGAACCAGATAACGCAATATCCAATGCTTGGTTTTAATTAGTCTAGTATTTGATGCTGGGGAATATTTAGAACCTGGTTAGCGACTTGCTTAATCACTTTGATGCAGTGAAAACATGATGTTTTTGTTACCCACAAAAATTGTACAATAAGGTGAAAATTTTCAATTTAAAGAATGCCCTAAGATGGTGACAACAGATTGGAAAATATTTTAATTGATAAGAATTGAGAGAATTCTTAGTGAGTCCATCATTTGGGTGTTAGAGGCAATATGTTTCTAAGTGAAGCTATGCCAGTAACAAGAAGGCGTGGACAGTAACCACGCTTAAGTTGCCAGGTCAGGGAAGGCCTGTAGGTATTGTACACTGAAATGAAATAGCTTTAATGGCTACCAGCTGTAATGTAGAGATACTCTACAGCTGTGCTCAAGATAAGAGTGGGGACATGTTCAGGTTTGCTGTGAGAGCAAATGATCGTTGCAGCTGGGAATAATTTGGACGTTTATGATGTAGGTGTCTTTTTCTTGCATACGTCATCCAAACAAATGAAATGTTTGTAAAAATCTAACGCTGCTTTAAGTACTTAAAAAGGCTTGTATGTTAGCACAATATACTGTTACGTCTCCGTTTGTTAATTAATTTTCCGTAACTTCGTTTCGACGAAACTTTAGCGACACAAGTCCTTACTTAATAAAACTGGTTTATTCTTCCTGAATATAACTTCACGATACACTTGATTTCAACAATCACGCTAAAACAAACACTATAACGAACGTTAACTTCAACGATACTTTCTCACTGCAGATCAGTTACTCACTTCCTACACACACATTACCTTACCGTCACGTTGTCACCCTCTTTTATATACCCGACTACCCTATATCTAGTAAATGCTAGATCATTCGCCAAAGTACAGGATAGTTCTAGAAAGTAGAGGGCGTGAGAATAGTCACGTGATCTCGATGACGCAACAATACTTTAAAAGCTTAAAATAATGATGATACAAATTACTTGTATTAAAATAAAACAGTTGATTTTCAGTTTTAAAAAAATAAATATACTAAAATCACAACTCCAAACTTTTGTTAGGTTATTTTTATACAATTTCGCCCGGCATGGCCAGGTGGTTAGGGCGCTTGGTTCGCAATCTGAGGGTCGCGGGTTTGAATCCCCCTCCCACTTTTCAGACTTGGGGACGTTATAATGTGACGGTCAATTCCACTATTCGTAGATCAAGTGTTGGCGGTGGGTGGTGATGACTAGCTGCCTTCCTTCCCTCTATTCTTTCACAGCTACATTCACTGCAGGTAACCTCGTGTAGCTTTGCGAGAAATTCAAAACAAACAAACGAAACAATTTAAATCAAAGGTAATTTAACAAAACAAATATTTTTGTATATAGTACGAATACTGCTCTAGAATAAACCCAGAACATCATGGTAATAAAATGAAAACTAAAAAATATATTTTACTTCTTTAAATGCAATTATCTGATGTGGTTCTGCAAACATATAATTTCAGAAAGTATCTTCCAGTATTAAATGGCATTCTTTAATAATTTGTCAGCTGTTTCTTTATAAACACTTGTATTGTGAAATTGAAGGCTAAAAATTATTTCAGATATATCACGCATACTTTATTTTTGTCTGTCAAAAATCCATAACTTAATGTTGTTCTTTTCTGCATAAATTATTTGTTTAGTAAAGATGATATCGCAAGCTGTGTTTTCGGTTATTCATTTATTGGTTTCCAGAGTAATATATAAACTTATTTCTGGTAGAAGTTATTACATAATTGATCTGCAGGCTATTTTTTTTATTGGGGGAAGGATCGAATCATTCAGTTGTTTTTCTTTTTTTTTGGCCGGGCATTGCGGCTCATAGAATGGCTCTGAGTTTTTCAAGTACAAACTTTTAGCTCATAGCCCCGTCATCTCTTGACCGATTTGAGATCTAATTACAGTTTTGGACTCAGGAGGTCAAAACCTTTCGATTGGCATATTTGATCACGCCCAAGGTCTCATTGATTAATTTACTCTAATCCTGCCTAAAAGAATTTCGTTTTGAGGGTAGGCTGTTAGAGATCCTGATAAGTAATAAAATCGAATCGGTTGTATGCGTGCCCCACGCTTGGTATTGCTGGCGCACAAAAATATAGCTAATAAAAAGGGAAACGAAGGTCTTATAGATTAATTGACTCTAATCCTGCCTAAGAGAATTTCAAGTGCCGCAGCTATTGAGAATTCCCTCTTGTTTAATGATTTCAATGTAATTGAGTATATAGATTTTAAATAATTTAACCAGTTATTCTTGTTTGTTAAAATATCCAATATGTAGTATATTACGTCAGCATTTCCCAAACTATGTTCCGCGGAACACCGATGTTCCATCCGAGATTGACAGGTGATCCGTGATAAAAATCATGATTTGAAATTTTAATAAAATAGTTAACACTTTTTGTACGATCATAACTTATTATGAAATATTTTCCTATGCATTAGAATTAGATAATATCGATTTCACATTGAAGAAGAATTATAGAAGATGCCAGATCTATTCTACATAATACCTTAGTGAAGATGTTTGTACCTAAAATATATTATAAGCATAGAAATGTAAAAATTCATTAATATGTAATTTGATTAAATAAATAATTGAATAATGTACAACTCTAGAGGGCGCTGCGCGCGCAACATACCCTTTACACCGATATTTCACGTGTCTAGTGTTCCGTAAGCTTTTTGTCAGCTGAAAAGTGTTCCGTGGTCCAAAAAGTTTGGGAAACACTGCACTACGTAATATATTTCCGAGTGTGTTATCTTAAATTAATAAGAATATAGAATATGCTTATTTCAAATCCCGATAGATGTCGCTACTATAACTTGTCTACACAAGCATTTCCTAAAAATATACATTAAGCTTAGTCAATTCAGCATTCGATTCACAACTTGTTTCTATATTATACCGCCATGGGGGAATTCCGCTCTTCATCACTAGTCCTCAGTTGTGGAGTGTATGTTATATGTATGGTATTTTGAGTTGTCTTTTACTTACCGCAGTAAAGCTATATTTATATAGAATTTGAAGAACATATAACATGGTGCTACTAATTTATTCTTCTGAATTATTTAGAAGACAAGCTGTTTAAAATACTAAAAATTAATATGAAGCCAAACATAAAAATATATACACGGATAAACACTGTGAAGTTTAATCACTATACATCAATTTATTATTATTTCAGGAAATTACGTCTTCAATTGGATTAATATTACAATATTTTGTAATGTATACTCGTTGTAGCTTTTGACTGGATAAACAGGATAACTCTAAAGCTTAAGTAGACATGTGTGTGTAATTTAGGTGGATTTGTTTTTTGTTTGTTTTTGAATTTCACGCAAAGCTACACGAGGGCTATATGCGCTAGCCGTCCCTAATTTAGCAGTGTAAGACTAGAGGGAAGGCAGCTAGTCATCGCCACCCACCGCCAACTCTTGGGCTACTTTTTTACTAACGAATAGTTGGATTGACCGTTACATTATAACACGGCTGAAGGGGCGAGCATATTTTGTGACGGGATTTCGAAACCGCGACCCTCAGATTGCGAGTCGAGTGCCCTAACCACCAGGCCATGCCAGGCCTACTGAAAAAGGATATGAAAATAAAACCGAGCGATTCTAAAACATCGAATTAAGATATTTCTTCACTTCTTGATTAAACTTGGTTTGATTGTAGTTATGCACGAAGCCACACAATAGTCTATCTTTACTCTGCCCACCACGGGTATCGAAATCCGAGTTTTGGGCGTCTTAAGCCTACAGACCTATCGCTGAACCACTAGGGGGCTCTTGATTAAGATGAAAGTGATTTGTTTTGTCACTCAGTCATCAACACGCACTCTTCCTCCAACACATACAACTGTAGTTAGTTATATGTACAAGTATTTTTAAACCTTCAAACCTAATGGTCTGTTTTTATTGTTTGTTTGTTTTTTAACCTAAAGAAATTTAAGATATGACAGAAAGGATGGCAGAATGTAATCCAATGAATACAATGTGAAAATAGACAGCCGTTAATAAACAATAATGAAGGCTACTTTTGTAAAGTAGGAAATAAAAACACATTTCGAACTGTTAATTAGATAACGGCTGATAACGTTTTACTTATGTTTTATATTCTGCGTTTTAGCTTGTTAACTTTTACTGCTATTACCTCAGTTGTGTTCAATTAATAAGCACGAATATACTATATACTATATTAGTTGCGATTATTGTCAAAAGGTAGCGCAACCATAGCCAATCTCTTACTTCACAGGTTTGACAAGTATGACTGTATAGTTTGGATATTTTTTAAATAAGTATGGAACGTTCATGTAAGTAGTTTAATAATTAAGTGTATAGATAAATTATCAAACTTCTGTCGTGCCCAGTGTTTCACTTGTCGCTGTAATCTCGTAAATAAGGATAAAAGTGCATATCGTAACAATGTAAGGATGAACAACGGCTTTCTTCGACTTGGCGGAAGTAGAGTGGACACATTGACTCGAAGGAAACATATGTTTAAAAAATTATGTATATAGGAAACTGACACAATAATCCACTTTCATCTTTTTCATCTCCTTAGAAACCTGTTATAGCACGTGGCTTTCTTAGGCACTCGTCCGTTATTAATCTGTCCTGAGGACAGGACTGTTACGTTATTGTGTCCAGTGTATCTAGTCGGGCTAGGACGTGGC